CACTTCTGTCTAGAGGGATCCTTGTCTCTTCTGAAAATAATCCCTGTCTCTGCTCCAGGACCCCGCAATCATTTCCCTCAACTGGGACAAACTGTTATCTCCATGCCAATTTCTTCTCCTTTCTTCCAAACTTCTTAACCATTCTTGAATCTCTACACACTCCCCTTTACAGATCCTGCTGAGATCCAGATGTCTACTGGCTGTGAGGTGTACCCTGAGAATGCTTCAGAAAGCTTTTTCTATGTAGCATTTCAAGGAGAATATATCCTGAGTTTTCAGGGAACTTCCTTTCAGAAGGCCCCAGATGCCCCACCTTGGACAGATTTGGTCATTAACGTGCTCAACGGTGATCAAGGGACAATGGAAACCCTCCAATGGCTTCTGAATGATACCTGGCCCCAGTTTGCCCATGGCCTCCTGGAAGCAGGGAAAGCAGAGCTAGAGAAACAAGGTCAGCCTGCTTGCCTCACCCCAGCTCTCCATATATTTTCCCTTCACTGTAAGCTTTAGGAAAAGGGCAATGCCTAGGAGGAGGTGAATAAGGCTTGTGGGGTTTATTCTTGTCACTGGCACTCATTCTTATTGAGTTAAATAAACACTGGGGATCAGAACTGACCAGGTGGTATTTGAGACATGCTATATCAGCTGTACTCAGGGTGTTCTAGAGTACAGAGGAGGACTGTTCCTGGAACACTTGAATCAAGGAAGGGGTGAAAGTATCACAGATTGTTTCCCTAGTCACAGTGATACAAATGGATTTAAACTAATAGGCAACATCATCTCCAGAAGGGGAACTGTGGAAAGTGTAAACTTAATAGCAATTCTGGAGCCTCTAATATAAATGTTTTTGCTTTAAAATATTTTTATTCTCTTTCTGGGTACAGAGAAGCCTGAGGTCTGGTTGTCCAGTGGCCTCAGTCCTAAACATGGTCATCTACAGTTGGTGTGTCATGTCTCTGGTTTCTACCCAAAGCCTGTGTGGGTGATGTGGATGCAGGGTGAGCAGGAGCAAAATAGTACTCAGACAAGTGACTACCTGCCCAATGCTGATGAGACATGGTATCTCCAAGCAACCCTGGATGTGGAGGCTGGAAAGGAGGCTGGCCTGGCCTGCTGCGTGAAACATAGCAGTCTAGGAGGACAGAATAAAATCTGCCGTTCACGTAAGAAAAAAACCTGTATCCTGGGTGAGAGCAAGTAGAGGTACCATTCAAGCTTGGAATGAGAACTAAACAAACTGAGTTTCAGATATGAAACCCCTAACTATTATAGGAGAGAGAGAAGGGGGAATTCTAGATACAGAAATCAATCCCAGTAAATTTGAGTTAAGATGTTCTATATATGTGAGAGGAATGTAGACCAAGAAACTCAGAAGACCCAGAGGCATAAGGGTAAATAAAGAAGTTCAGGAGGATACGCACCCCAGGATAGAGGATCCAGGGCACGAGGCATAGCTGTAGGTTATTGATGCCTCCTCTGTGAGCACTGACCACTCTGTTACCAACATATCAGTTCATCACTTAGCTTTGAAGCAAATACTGCTATTCTGACTTTGTAGATAAAGAAGTCAGTGCTAGGATAAGGTAACCACCCAAAGTCATTCAGGAAATTCAAGAGCTGGGGTAAACAGATTCACATCTGTCTGGAGAGCATACAGTCAAATCCTGACAATAGATGGTCAGTCTAAACTCATGAAGACTAAAAGAATAGAGTTTAAATAAAGAAAAAAACCAATGGCATGGCTTCCTCACATGTGCTTAGAATAGGGAACTTGAAATAAGTCTGGGTTATTTGTTTAGTGATACCTTGCATTCTTCCAAAGCAGGTGGCAGACATTTATCCACGGGTATTATCATCGTGGTAGTACTAGTAGTACTAGTACCAATATGTGCTCTAATTGGTTATGTGATCTACACCAAGAAGCGCCGGTAAGTCTCCCCTTTCCTGTGTTCCTTTTTTCAGTATCTTTGTTTTGTTACCACCTTTTCTTTCCTAATGGCCTCTCTCTTTTTTTCTCAGTTCCTATCAAGACATCCCATAGGTCTTCCTTACACCTGCCTTTCCTGAGACTCAGACCTTCTGGCTTCTAGGACTTCAGTCATGGTTGTCTGAGGAACTGAGGAGAATAAAAGAACCTTGAAGAATGTGAAGAGCTACCAGCACACTCTTTCAATATTTATTTTAAAAATTAATTTCTTTTTCATTGTATTACAAGTTTATAAAAGCCCAGGTGGTTTGGAACAAACACAATTGCAAATAAACATACCTGCCAAAAACGAGCTGTGGGCAGTATTTTATGGGATTTGCACTGAACTGGAAAGCACAGATTCTGCCCAAACCAATGGTTCCAAGTTTGTTGAAAAATGTAAAGTCTAATGCCAACATATCTGAACTCTACAGGTTTCAAAAAAACCTAGAAATACTTATTTGAGAGGAGCAGGGACATACAGATATTAAAGTAAACTCAAATATTCCCAAATATCAGTATTCTTTCATATCTTACATCCACATCTGATGGATGTCCATCTAATGACAACCCAAGGGCTTCCAGTTTGTGGCTCTTTAAAAGAAAATATTTGTCCTAAATGCAATAATGACAATCTTATGACAGAGTCTCTATTGTAAACATGCATTCATGACTGATGTGTGTGTTCTCTTTAAAATAAAATTTAGGAGGTCTCTTGGGGATTTACTTGGAATCATTGTATTTAAAAAAAGAAGTCATAGTGTATACCTACTTACCTTGAGATATTTCCCTCAAACACTGCTATAATTTCATTTAAAATGTATCCCAACAGACCATTTATTAAAGGTCAAGTTACCAGCCCATGGCACTATCAGGAATTAGTACTTACGTTAACAGGTGAGGCCCACTAAAAAGGAGTTGACATAATAAGTTCATACAGTCAAAGTAGGACACAAAGTCTCTTTTGCAGTAGTGTAATTCATAGATTTAGTAGGGAACTCAAGGCGTTTTTTCTATTCTTTTTTTCTAGTCTGAGATATGCTTTCTTTTCTCCATTTTATTTATTTATTTATTCATTCACTTATTGCTTCTTTGTCAAAAGTCAGGTGTTTGTAGGTGCATAGATTGATATCTGGTCTTCTACTCAGTTCCATTGGTCCTCCTGTCTGTTTTTATGTCAATACCGGGCTTTTTTTCAGTACTGTAGCTCTGTAGTAGAGTTTGAAGTCAGGGATTGTGATGCCTCCAGAAGTTCTTTTATTGTATAGAATTGTTTTGCCTATCCTGGGTTTTTTGCTTTTCCATAAAAAGTTGAGTATTGTTCTTTCAAGGTCTGTGAAGATTTTTCTGGGATTTTAATGGGCTTCGCATTAAATTTGTAAATTGCTTTTGGTAAGATTGCCATTTTAATTATGTTAATTCTACCTACCCAAGAGCATGGGAGATCTTTCCACTTTCTGGTGTCTTCTTCAATTTCTTTCTTCAAAGACTTAAAGTTCTTGTCATAAAGGTGATGGGCGGAGAAATCAGGTGCTTAAAAGACATCTCACACTGGCTCAGAATTGAAAGTTAGACCATTATTTACCTGCCGGAGGGGGGGGGACTTACAATACCATCCAAAAACAATCTTACCAGCCAAGCAAGATCTAGGGGGATGCAAGAATGGGACTGTAGTTTGAAGTCTATTTTGTTAGATATTAGGATAGCTATACCAGCTTGTTTCTTAGGTCCATTTGATTGGGATTTGTTTTCCCAACCCTTTACTCTGAGGTGATGTCTGTCTTTAACATTAAGGTGTGTTTCTTGTATGCAACAGAAGCATGGATTCTGTTTTTGTATCTAATCTGTTAGCCTGCATATTTTTATAGGTGAATTGAGTTCATTTATATTAAGGGATATTAATGACCAGTGATTGCTAGCTCCGGTTATTTTAGATTTCATTGTAAGAGATGTTATCATGTGTGTTTTTTCTTTGGGATTTGTTGCTCTGCGATCATCTGTTGTCTGTGTTTTTGTGTCTGCTCCCACAGAGGTCGCTGCCTGAGAGCTGCTGCAGAAAATATTTTTGACAAAATTCAACATGCCTTAAAGATAGAGTGCTAGAGAGAGCAGGAGGGAATATACCTCAATATCATAAAGACTAAATATGACAAGCCCACACTCAACATCCTAAATGGGAAAAATTCAAAGCAATACCATTAAGATCAGGAATGAGACAACGCTGCCCACATCTCCACTCCTCTTCAATACAGTATCTGAAGCACAAAGCTGGAGCAATAAGGCAAGAGAAGGAAAGTAAAGAGGTAGAAATAGGAAAAGAAGTAAAACTATCCCAGTTTGCAGATGATATGATATTCCAAAAATTCCATCAAAAAGCACCTTCTAGAAATGATCAACAATTTCAGCAAGGTGGCAAAATACAAAATAAACTTATCAAAATTAATAGCTTTTCTATATGTCAACAATTAACTTGCTGAGAAAGATATCACAGACATACTACAATTCACAATAGTCTCACAGACAATGAAATATCTACGAATAAACCTAACAGATCAGGGAAAGTGTCTGGGGACCCCTGATACAGGAGATTTGGGGGTAGGAATGCTGTGAAGGAACTTAGCCCACCCGATCTTAACCTCTCAGTGTACCGATGTGAGAATCATGTCTATCCTTATTTATTCCAAACGTGTGGAGATCTGGAAGGAGTCAGAAGTGTAAAACAAAGTAGCACCTGCAGATAATCACTGCTAGCCAGGTCGAAACTTTTCTCCTTTTCTTCCCTTGCATTTTTAATATCATCAGAGTTGTAACACAAATATGATGTTATGTCTCACCTTTAACATCGTTATGACAAACCAGTCTCAACCTCTTTCTTTAGTGTAAGCAAAAGAAGGTTGAGAAAAGTTGATTGCTCTCAGAGGTGCTGATTAAAGCTGCATTCCAACACTCAACCACTAGGGGGTGACTTTGTAAAAGAGTAATTCCTTTGCCAGATCCGGTGCTTCCTTATTTGGCAGGCTCTTTGCACAAAGCCCAGAGCTGTTCTCCTGAGGCACTGCAAAGAGAAAGTGGAGAAGTCGGAGCCTACTGCTGTGTAAACCTCTCTCACCATGTGGTACCTACCATGCCTGTTGTTTTGGGTGTTCCCCTGGGTCTGGATACAATCTGAAGGTGAGTAGAAGAGGGCACAGAATGGTCTGGAAAAGAAAGAAGAGAGGGCTGGGCTAGCAGTGTTTTCATCCTGGGTGGGTGGAGGTGGACCTTGGCAGGCTCCAAGCACATTGGTGGGCAGAACAGATGCTGATCCCGCTCAAAGCTAAATGCAGTTCTGACTGGTACTGTCCCTTTTAAAGCACAGGTAAGGCGTTTTCCTAACAACCTTTGCTGCTGACTTAGATTCTTACTGTCCTTATTTGGTTTTCATTGTTTCCAGCCCAGCAAAAGAATTTTCCCTTCAGGATCCTGCAGATCTCTTCCTTCCCAAACAGTAGTAGCTCAAGCACAGATGGCTCTGCTTGGCTGGGGGATCTGCAAACTCATCGGTGGAGTAATGCCTCAGACACCATTGACTTCATGAAGCCCTGGTCCCAGGGCAAATTCAGTGACCAACAGTGGGAGCAATTGCAGCGTGTATTTCAAGTTTATCGATTCAGCTTTACCAGGGACGTACAGGAATTTGTCAAAATGCTGCCTAATATACACTGTGAGTGGAGGGATGGAACCCTGAAAAGGTACTTAGTGGATGAGAGAGAACCCCAGATCCCAACTGGGTAACTGTGGGCCTTCTTGATGAGATTTCTTTTTTCTCCACCCTTAAGATTTTCACCTCTGTCTAGAGGGATCCTTGTCTCTTCTAAAAATAATCCCTGTCTCTGCTCCAGGACCCAGCAATCATTTCCCTCAACTGGGACAAACTGTTATCTCCATGTCAATTTCTTCCAAACTTTAACCATTCTTGAATCTCTACACACTCCCCTTTACAGATCCTGTTGAGATCCAGATGTCTGCTGGGTGTGACGTGTACTCTGAGAATGCTTCAGAAAGCTTTTTCTATGTAGCATTTCAAGGAGAATATATCCTGAGTTTTCAGGGAACTTCCTTTCAGAAGGCCCCAGATGCCCCACCTTGGACAGAGTTGGTTATTAAAGTGCTCAATGGTGATCAAGGGACAATGGAAACAGCACAATGGCTTCTGAATGACATCTGCCCCAAGTTTGTCCATGGCCTCCTGGAAGCAGGGAAGGCAGAGCTAGAGAAACAAGGTCAGCCTGCTTGCCTCACCCCGGCTCTCCCTATATTTTTCCATTTCTGTATGCTTTAGAGAAAGAACAAGGCCTAGGAAGAGGTGAATAAGGCATGTGGGGTTTATTCTTGTCACTGGCACTCACTCTGGATTCTATAAATTGAGTTAAATAAACACTGGGGATCAGAACTGAGCCAACTGGTATTTGAGACATGCTATATCAGTTGAACTCAGGGTGTTCTAGAGTACAGAGAAGGACTATTCATGGAACACTTGCATCGGGGAAGGGGTAGAAATGTCAGGGAAGGTTTCCCTAATCACAGTGATACAAATGGATTTAAACTAATAGGCAACATCATCTCCAGAAGGGGACCTGTGGAAAGCATGAACTTGATAGGAATTCTGGAGCCTCTAATATAAATGTTTTTGCTTTAAAATATTTTTATTCTCTTCCTGGGTATAGAGAAGCCTGTGGTCTCATTGCCCAGTGGCCTCAGTCCTAAACATGGTCATCTACAGTTGGTGTGTCATGTCTCTGGCTTCTACCCAAAGCCTGTGTGGGTGATGTGGATGCAGGGTGAGCAGGAGCAAAATAGTACTCAGACAAGTGACTACCTGCCCAATGCTGATGAGACATGGTATCTCCAAGCAACCCTGGATGTGGAGGCTGGAAAGGAGGCTGGCCTGGCCTGCTGCGTGAAACATAGCAGTCTAGGAGGACAGAACAAAATCTGCCGTTCACGTAAGAAAAAAAAAACCTGTATCCTGGGTGAGAGCAAGTAGAGGTACAATTCAAGCTTGGAATGAGAACTAAATAAACTGAGTTTCAGATATGAAACCCCTAACTATTATAGGAGAGAGAGAAGGGGGAATTCTAGATACAGAAATCAATCCCAGTAAATTTGAGTTAAGATGATATATATATATATATATATATATATATATATATATATATATGAGGAATGTAGACCAAGAAACTCAGAAGACCCAGAGGCAAAGGGCAAATAAAGAAATTCAGGAGGATACACACCCCAGGATAGAGGATCCAGGGCACGAGGAATAGCTGTAGGTTATTGATGCCTCCTCTGTGAGCACTGACCACTCTGTCACCAACATATCAGTTCATCACTTAGCTTTGAAGCAAATACTGCGATTCTGACTTTATATATAAAGAGGTTATTGCTAAGATAAGGTAAAGTCATTCTGAAAATTCAAGAGCTGGGGGTAAACAGATTCACATCTGTCTGGAGAGCATACAGTCAAATCCTGACAATAGATGGTCAGTCTAAACTCACGAAGACTAAAAGGATATAGTTTAAATAAAGAAAAAGCAGTGGGTGGCTTCCTCACATGTGCTTAGAAAAGGGAACATAAAATAGGTCTCAGTTCTTTGTTTAGTGATGCTTTGTATTTTTCTACAGAACATGACAAATATTCACCCAACGGTATTATCGCGGCAGTAGTAGTAGTAGGACTACCAATATGTGCTCTAATTGGTTATGTGATCTACACCAAGAAGCGCCGGTAAGTTCCCCTTTCCTGTGTTCTTTCCTCAACATCCCTGCTTTGTTATCTCCATTTCTTTCCTAATGGCCTCTCTCTTTTCTCTCAGCTCCTATCAAGACATCCCGGGCCGGGCGGTGGTGGCGCACGCCTTTAATCCCAGCACTCGGGAGGCAGAGGCAGGTGGATCTCTGTGAGTTCGAGACCAGCCTGGTCTACAAGAGCTAGTTCCAGGACAGGCTCCAAAACCACAGAGAAACCCTGTCTCAAAAAACAAAACAACAACAACAAAAAAAGACATCCTGTAGGTCTTCCTTACTCCTGCCTTTCCTGAGCCTCAGACCTTCCGGCTTCTAGGACTTCAGTCCTGCTTGGCTGAGGAATTGAGGAGGAGGGTAAAACAACCTTGAAGAAAGTGAAGAGCAACCAGCACACCCTTTCAATATTTATTTCAAAAATTAATTTCTTTCTCATTGTATTACAAGTTTATAAAAGCCCCGGTGGTTTGGAACAAACACAATTGCAAATATACATACCTGCCAAGAACAAGCTGTGGACAGTATTTTATGGGATTTGCACTGAACTGGAAAGCACAGATCCTGCCCAAACTGATGGTTCCAAGTTTGTTGAAAAGTGTAAAGTCCAATGCCATCATGGCTGAAGTCTACAGGTTTTAAGAAACCTAGAAATACTTATTTGAGAGGAGAGGTGACATACAGATTTTAAAGTAAACTCAAATATTTGCAAATATCAGCACTGTTTGATATCTTAGATCCACACCTGATGGATGTCCATCTAATGACAACCCAAGGACTTCCAGTTTGTGGCTCTTTAAAAGAAAATATTTGTCCTAAATGCCATAATGACAATCTTAGGACAGAGTCTCTATTGTAAACATGCATTCATGACTGATGTGTGTGTTCTCTTTAAAATAAAATTTAGGAGGTCTCCTGGAGTTTTACTTGGAATCACTGTATTTTAAAAAGAAGTCATAGTATATACATTCTTACCTTGAGATATTTCCCTCAAACACTCCTATAATTTTCATTTGAAATGTATCCCGACACCCCTTTTATTGAAGGTCAAGATTCCAGCCCATGGCACTATCAGGAAGTAGTACTTACATTAGCAGGTGAGGCCCAGTAGAAAGGAGTAGACATAATGAGTTCATACAGTCATAGTGGGACACAAAGTCCCTTTTGCCGTAATGTAATTCATAGATTTAGAAGGCAACTCAAGGCGTTTTTTTCCTTTTTTTTTTTTCTTTCTGAAAAAACAAAAAAACAGTAGGGCAGACTTTGCTTTATGTATAAAAGCTACTTGTGACTACATGTTATCTGTTTTTTTTGGTCTGTGTTACCTCACTCAATATGGTGTTTGCTTGATCCATCCATTTGTCCGCAATTTTCAAGATGTCATCATTTTTTCCAATGTATAGTATTCCATTATGTAAAAGTACCACATCTTCTTTATTCATTCTTCAGTTGAGGGGCATTTAGGTTGTTTCCAGGTTCTACCTATGACAAATAATGCTGCTATGAACATAGTTTAGTACATGTCTTTTTGGTATGATAAAACATCCTTTGGGTATATACTCAAAAGTGGTATTGCTGGTCTTGAGGTAGGTTGTTTTCTAATTTTCTGAAAAACATCATACTGATTTCCAAAGCAGCTGTACAAGTTTGCACTCCCACCAGCAAAGGAGGAGTGTTCCCTTTACCCCACATCCTCTCCAGCATAAAACTGTCATCAGAGTTTTTGATCTTGGCCATTCTTACAGGTATAAAATGGAATCTCAAAGTTATTTTGATTTCATTTCTCTTATGGCTAAGGTTGTTGAGCATTCCCTTAGGTGTCTTTCAGACATTTTAGATTCCTCTCTTGAGAGCTCTGTTTTTTTCATTAGATTATTTGTTCTTTTGAAGTTAATTTTCTTGAGTTCATTGTATGTTTTGGTTATCAGTCCTCTGTCTGATGTGGGTTTGGTGAAGATCTTTTCCCACGCTATAAGCTGCTGTTTTGTCTTGTTGACTGTGTCCTTTGCTTTGCAAAAGTTTCTCAATTTCAGAAGGTCCCATTTATTAATTGTTGCTCTCAGGGTTGGTACTTCTGCAGTTATATTTAGGAAGTGGTCTCCTGTGCCAATGCGTGCAAGTATACTTCCCACTTTCTCTTCTGTGAGGTTCAGTGTGATTGGTTTTATGTTGAAGTCTTTGATCATTTGCATTTGAGTTTTGTGCATTGTGATAGATACTGATCTACTTTCATTCTTCTACTTGTTGAAATACAGTTATGTCAGGACCATTTGTTGGATATGCTTTCTTTTATCCATTTTATTTATTTGTTTATTGCTTCATTGTCAAAAATCAGGAGTTTGTAGGTGTAGATTGATATCTGGTCTTCAATTCAGTTCCATCGGTCCTCCTGTCGGTTTATATGTCAATACCAAGCTGTATTCAGTACTGTAGATCTGTAGTAAAGTTTGAAGTCAGGGATTGTGATGCCTCTAGAAGTTGCTTTATTGTATAGGACTGTTTTGGCCATCCTGGATTTTTTTTGATTTTCCATAAGAAATTTGAGTATTGTTCTTTCAAGGTCTGTGAAGATTTTTCTGGGATTTTGATGGGCTTTGCATTAAATTTGTAGATTGCTTTTGGTAAGATTGCCATTTTTACTGTCTTAATTCTACCTACCCAAGAGCATGGGGGATTTTTCCATTTTATGGTGTCTTCTTCAATTTCTTTCTTCACAGACTTAAAGTTCGAGTCTTACAGGTTTTTCACTTGTTTGGTTAGAGTTACACCAAGCTATTTTATGTTATTTGTGGCTATTGTTAAAGGTGATGCTTCTCTAATTTCTTTCTCAGTCCATTTATCATCTGTATAAAAGAGGGCTACTGATTCTTTTTGAGTTAATCTTGTATCCTGCTACGTTACTGAAGGTGTTTATGTCTTGTAAAAGTTTCTTGGTAGAATTTTGGGGGTCACTTATGTAAACTGTCGTATCATTAGCAAATAGTGAGAGTTTGATTTCTTTTTTTCCGTCTTGAATCCCCTTGATTTCCTTTTCATTTTTTTCCTATCGTTCTGGCTAGCACCTCAAGTACTTTGTTGAATAAATATGGAGAGAGTGGACAACCTTGTCTTGTTCCTGATTTCATTTAGATTTCTTTGAGTTTTTCTCCATTTAGTTTGATGTTGGCTGTTGACTAGCTGTGTATTGCTTTATTATGTTTAGGTATGCTCCTTGTATCCTTGCTCTCTCCAAGACCTTTATCATGAAAGGATATCGTATTTTGTCGGTTTTTTTCAACATCTAATGAGATGATCATGTGTTTTCTTTTTCAGTTTGTTTACATAGTGGATTACATTGACATATATTCATATATTGAACTATCTCTGCATCTCTCGGATGAGGCCTCCTTGGTCATAGTGGATGATTTTTCTGATGTGTCTTGGATTTGGTTTGCCAGCATTCTATTGAGTTTTTTTGCATCAATGTTCATGAATGAGATTGGTCTGTAATTTTCTTTCTTAGTAATGTCTTTGTGTGGTTTGGGTATCAGGGTAATTGTAGCATGAAAAGAGTTTGGCAGTGAAAACAAAAAAAGTGAAAACAAAATAAGAAAAGAGTTTGGCATTGTTCCTTCTATTTCAATTTTGTGGCACAATTTGAGGAGTATTGGTATTAGTTCTTCTTTGAAAATCTTGTAGAATTCTGAGCCTAAACCCTCTGGTCCTGGGCTTTTTTTTGGTTGGGAGACTTTTGATGAATGTTTCTATTTCTTCAGCAGTTATAGGTGTGCTTAATTTGCTTATCTGGTTTTGATTTAATTTTGGTAAGTGATATTTATCCAAAAAATGTTCATTTCCTTTAAGTTTTCCAATTTTGTGGAGTACAGGTTTTTGACATATGAACTGATGATTCTCTATATTTCCTCCACATCTGTTGTTATGTCCCCTTTTTCACTTCTGATTTTGTTAATTTGGATAGTCTCTCTCTGCCTTTTGGTTAGTTTGGATAACGGTTTGTCTATTTTGTTGATTTTCTCGAAGAACCAACTCTTGGTCTCATTGATTCTTTGTATTTTTTTATTTCTATTTTGTTGATTTTTAGAAAGTCTTTAATTTCTTCCTTGACCCATTGATGAGTGAGCATTGTTTAATTTCCATGTGTTTGTGGGCCTTCTGAAATTTGTTTTGCTGTTGAATTCTAATTTTAAGCCATGGTGATCTGATAAGATACATAGAGTTTTCCTTTTCTTTTTTTGTTTTTCATTTATTTTTCCATTTATATATTTACACTTCATCTCCTCCTCCCATTTCCCTCCAGTTCCCCCACTCACCCTCCCTCCTTCCCCTCCCTCCTTAAGAGAGGGCAGGGAATCCTGCCCTGTGGGAAGTCCAACCCCCCACCACACACACACATCCAGGCCTAGGAAGCTTTGCATCCAAATAGACTGGGGTCCCAAAAAGCCAGTACATGCAGTAGAAACAAGTCTCTGTGCCTTTATCAATGGCTTCTCAGTCAACCCCCATTTTCAGCCACATTCAGAGAGTCCGGTTTGATTGCATCCTCATTCAGATCCGGTCCAGCTGGATTTGGTGAGCTCTCTTTAGAACAGGTACACTGTCTCAGTGGGTGGACCAACCCTTTGCGGTCCAGACTTCCTTGCTCATCTCCCTCCTGCTTTTCAACTGGACCTTGTGGGCTCAGTTCGTTGCTCTAATGAGGGACTTTATCTCTATCTCCATCTGTCACCGGATGAAGACTCTATTGTGATATTCGAGATAATCATCAGTGTGATAGTGGGGCAAAGCTAGTTCAGGCACCCTCTACTCTGCTGCCCAACGACCTAGCTGGGGATATCCCCGTGGGCACCTGGGATCCCCTCTAGAACCAAGTCTCTTGCCAACCCTAAAATGGCTCCCTTAATGTAGATATCTTCTTCCCTACTCCTATATCTGTCCTTCCTCCATCTCCACCCTCCCACTCCCCCAAGCACTCTCCAGTCTTTTTCTTTTTCCTTCTCTCTCCCCCTCTCCCCTCCCCCACCCCACCCCCATGCTCCCAACTTTTACCTGGCAATCTTATTTGCTTCCAATTTCCAAGAGGATCTATATATGTTTTTCTTTGGGTTCACCTTGTTATTTGGCTTCTCTA